ACCCGTACATGAATCCTTGGTGTATGTTGAACAAGCCAGAAAATGTGGGAATCTTCGGTGCCCCACCCAACCCTCAGGAGAATAACTCCAACGATCACTAGTAGGTGACCCCCTCTTTTATCACTCCGCATCTTTGCCCTCTAGCAACACAGCCAATCATAACAACTTTCGGCGACACTACCGAAATACTAACAATAATAACAGCACGAACAATAATGTTGGCAGTGGTACATGGAAGTCCAACTTCAAGACTGAAGAAGAGCTCTTCGGGGCCGCAAAGGCTACCATAAACATGCAGTTGTACGATAGCATACCAGTAAAGCAGTCGGGTCCGGACTGGACTGCTATTGATCCGCTGGCATCCTTCAGTGATGTCGAGTTGCATCAAATCTTGATGGACAACATTGAGCGGGCCCAGTATACGCATCCGACTCCTGTGCAGAAATATGCCCTGCCCATTGTACTGGCAAAACGTGACCTAATGGCTTGTGCCCAAACCGGTTCTGGCAAGACAGCTGCCTTTCTGCTGCCGATTCTGCACATGATGCTGCAACCAAATGTATCGGATGAAGTTGAGGATTCGGTAGGCCTCAAAATTTCTTTTGATTTCGCCGTCCCCCTATCTAGACCCCAACACCCAGCGGAATGACCTGCCCTTCGTGTCTCATTCTGGCACCCACCCGAGAATTGTCATGTCAAATCTATGATGAGGCTAGGCGGTTCTCCTATCACTCGGACCTCAAAACCTGTGTAGTCTATGGTGGAGCGCCCGTGAGCAATCAGATGCGAGATCTCTCTCGGGGTTGCGACTTGTTGGTCGCTACTCCTGGCCGCCTTGTTGACATGATTAGCCGCGAAAAAGTGACTCTAAAATCCATCAGGTGAGCTTTTCATCTGTCCTTCTAAGACGCCTTCTTTGTGTCTAGATTCCTCGTTCTCGATGAAGCTGACCGTATGCTTGATATGGGCTTTGAGCCGCAAATTCGAAAGATTGTTGAACAAACTGGGATGCCCAAATCAGACAAGCGTCAGACGCTCATGTTTTCAGCCACCTTTCCCACCGAGATTCAGGTAACTTTCTCCTTCTTGACTCTTTTACATCTCTCGGTAGACTTTGGCAAAGGATTTCCTGAACAGTTACATTTTTCTGGCTGTGGGACGCGTCGGCAGCACCAGCGAAAATATCTCTCAGGAAGTTTTCTACATCTCCGACAAAGACAAACCTGAACTTCTTGTGCGGATTCTAAGGGAGAAAGGTAAGCTAACCGAGTGTTTCCCCATAGGAATAACGTATTGGTGTGATTTACTTGTATTTGATATGGCTATACTTATGTCTGATCCGACCGACGTCAGTAGTGTGGCGGCTTGTAGCTTTCTACTCCAGAACGTCGGCGGCAGCAGATCTCAAGAGTTCGACCCACTATTCTCCAAATACATAGACCGAAGGTTTAATTGTAACCTCCATGCCTGTGTTGAACAAACCTTTGAGTTGACCTATTTGAGATGTACGGTTGGCAGTAAAACTCCATCTACAGCAGTAACATGTGGAGTGGACGACGACTACTATGCCAAAACCACGTCCATAGCCTTTCTTGGGCGGCTTGAGGTACCCTGGAGATGTTCTTTAGCTGAGTGCGGACTGTTTCTTTTGCGAAGAACAAAGAGTACTCCAATCGAACAAGGATTCTCAGGCAGCAGTGATCAAACGCCTCAAATTTTCTCCCATTTCCATGCGCACTGCTCAGAATTTACAGCCGCTTTTGAGGACTCACTGAGTTGGTGCCCAGTATGGCGACGGATATGTTGCGTCAGGCCCATAGGCACGTTCTCAGGAGAGAGAACGCCCTTTGAAAAGCATAAATTGGGGTGAGGATGTCCTGTATGTGTCCATTTGGCATTTGCTTGGCTTCCAGATACTGTCCACTTCTTGAAGTGCACGGTTATTGATCCTGACGAGCGTCTTTACTTGGCGAGAAACTTGGCCCTAAAACACTGGTCTTCCCAGCCTCCATAGATAAATCCCATTCATCGCAGTGTCGTATAGGGTCCTTTAGAAGCTTCGGTCTATGAGGTCGTTTAACAGGACGGACGAAGAAATGCAACGTGGCCATGCATCAGACCCAATTGGGATAAATTTTCTCTGACTGGAACTTATGCGGTAGTTAAGTCCTATTAGGTCTGAATCGTGGCGGTGTTCTTCATCAGTATACCGTTTAGTCTCATTACCCACCACAGAAGCTGACGGTGGACAGAATTGAAGACTACTTCCAAGTCAACAAAACAGATGGCGGTCGGGTACCGGTACTCATGGCCGATTTAAGGAATGCACTACAGTTCAAAGATGGGATAGGCTCGCCCCTGTCCAACTCGGAACTGGACTTTTCAAGTCTCGTCCTAGAATCACGCACACGTGGAAGTCGCCTGAAAATAACACTGAGAGATATCTTTGCAGCAATGTCAGTCAGACTCATGTCACGATAGTTGTCACTCCTTGTCTTATCGTCTTAAAGACGGACACTGGGACAGTCGATCGCAGTCCTTTGAAGCGAGCAAATTTGCCGCTGTTTGCTCGGCCGTCTTGTGAAGCCAGTATGCCAGTGTTCACACAGGACTTCAGCGTAAGTGCCGTCCTTGTTGCGCAGCCACAGTATTGCATGAACGATGACTTGCGAAGGCGGATAGGATAGGATAAAAAGGGATAGAACTCTGTTGCGGAAAGAGGGCGGTAAGGAATTTGCTATAGAACTTGGGAAGGTGCTCGAGTTGGTCAGACCAGTGACTGATGTTGGTGAAAGTCAAATAATATGCGATTACTGCTGTCAGAAATAAATCTGTTATTTTTATCAATAAGAGCGTCGTTCAGTGCTGGCGATCTCTGTCAACTTGGCTAAGCATTTGGCAGAGTTTTTTTTTAGTGCCACCGATGAATATTGTTTGTTCTATGACGATACCGCTTCATCCTAATAACTCAAGCGTCTGGCTACTTTGCTATCAAATCTTGGCGTTGACTTAACGAGTCCTCGTTGCGTGATTTGGGTCAAGTAGTCTACATGTCATCATCGTGGTTCCTGAGGGGATTCCGTCATCCTGACACCGCTGGGTGAGTCCAAGAATCCTTTCAGCAGCTCCAGGGATTGAGGACTCCAATGCTGCCTCCTTATTGCCGTTGTCTTTTCGACTCGAGTTGCACAACGAGACCGTTGTCGTAATTTTACGACCTCGGGGACCCACGCATGTGACAATTTCAGTGTAGATGACAGGTTAACTTTTACGTGGATGTGAATGAACTCACAGTCTGAGACTAGAATGGCTGTTTCTGGCTTCTTAGTCCTCGGGGAGCGCCCTTCTACCATTATTACTATATCTAGTCGCAACCGACAGGGCAACGAGCTTGTGGCTCAATAGTTAAGATTTAAGACTTTAGACATCTGACCAGCGTGTCGCGACTTCGAGTCTCGGGTGATACACCACCTGGGGTCGGGTATGGTTGCCTGATGACGGCTGCTAGGTCGGAAATAGCCATTCTAGTCACCTTTGTCGTTGTCGGTAATGTTCTGCAGCCTATATTGGTAGTCGCTGTGCGGCTGCTGGGGTGGGGTGGGGTGGGGTACTACTTTGATTTAGCTGATGATCCCGCATACAGGCTTAAGTACAAGGCTCTCGGATTTATATACTTGGTAAGTTTTAAACGGACCGACTGAAAGTTGCATTGCTAGCTGACAGCGTGTTTCCCGTCTTTTTCGTAAGCAATGAGTTAATAAACTGGCTTTTCTTTTACACTTTCTAAAAACACTATATTTTGTTCTTGTAAACAAAGCAAATTTGCAGCATGTAGTTCAATGAATTTTTATCGTCCTCTATTGAAACAAAATCAATAACCGACCCCGCCATGTCTATGTGATTTACTAAGTCGTCATTTACCATATGTTAAACATCGCAATTGTGAACAATTGGAACGCCCTCGACTGCACGATAGAGACGAACCGTGACATCCATATCCCGCTAGCCGCAGTCTTCCAAATGTATTTATGGTCATTGTCGTTATTGTTAGACAGGAAATTGTCCCGCCTGGCGTCATTGTTTCTCGGTAATTTGATTAGAGGCTCATTCATTCAGTTCTCAACGCTGGTTAAAGGTTCTCAGTTCGTGATTTTATAGTGCATTAGATATATTTGAACCTTTAATGCAAAATATAAGCTAACAGATTCGGAGACCGGAGGGAAGAATCTCTCAATATTGTTTGTTTGAAATTGACCCACAAACTCAGTCCACCATGTTTCGGTTGAGATAGTTGATTGCATCAGGCGCAGTTGATGGGACATCTTATTTAACTCTTTTCATATTTGCCGTAGTATGAAAGCTGACGGCGCATGCTGTTGTCCTCTCCTCCATTGATGTGACCTGAAACGACTTACCGTTATGCCATCCACGTCCTGATAAACCTTGCCATTTCTCTGATACAATTGCTTTGTCCGCATTCGTGGCAAAAAACTTCCGACATTCTTACTATGACAGTAGGCTCCCCAGTCTTCATTCGTTGTTAGTTCGTACTCTCTTCATTCCCTCCAAACCATTCTTTGTCTCCAGCGCCCCAACAAGCATACGTATCTCCATAAATAGAGAAGATGTTTTTCGCTTGCCGTAATACTGTCTTTATTCACCTGAGCGTTCGAACTCTTACTGGAGTCTATCGTCAGAGGTAACGTCACAGCCACGAAGGTGATCGTCCACGCTAGAATCAAGGCAAACTAGGGATTGATTGAAGCCTGAGCCTCCGATGAAAACTCGGTCAATTGACTTATCGATCCGATGCCGGCATACAGGGCTCTGCGCCACCACACCCGGACTGTCGTTACCGGTGTATGATCGGCCCTTATCCCCCCATAATTTACTTATTCCCACAAGCGTTGATTAATTTTCATCGATCGCTGACGGAACTCATTCGTCTCGCTATGTCTTGGGGCTCATTCTGGAGCTCCGCCAGTAGTCGCACAGCGGCTAGTAGTCTAAGCAGGTAGTATTGCCGACAAAGACAAGGGAGACCAGTCTCCCTTGTTGCTTTTATATCTGACGATGGACTCCCATGAAAGTTCTAAAGCTCAGGTAAATAAAGATAATATTCTGGCAGGCTAGCAATAATCTTCTTTTAACTCATATACATCTGAAATGCGAATAGTAGCCTCTGTCGAACTTTAGAGGAAATCGGTTCTGCACAAAGTATGTCGCAAGTCCAAAAACAAATAATGACAATGGGAAGCAGATTCATTTATTGAATGAATGTGCATCGATCGGAACCGGTAGTCATTGACTAGAAAGAAAAATAACCCCTCAAATTCGTGTGCATTCTAAATGATGTGTTTCCTGTGAGTGGTAACTATAGTATTTCGGGTTTGACCCGTGCCATGACCGCTTCCAAAGTTTTTTTGCCCTCTCCGTTCCATATTAATGGCAGAGTAGCCAAATGCCTCTTGTTTTTGTAAAACTTTCCTGTGGGATGCGTATGCAGCCCCAAGTCTGGATTTTGTCTTCACCTGTCCCCTGTGAATCGCGTGACTCGAGTAGTCGTTACACACTTTTATGCAAATATGCTGTCTGCGAGCTGTCCTTTGACCTTCCTCTAGATGCGAACTAAATCATCGTGCCTTTTGTGCGACAGTGTCGGATGGCGTGTTTGGGCCATGATTGGTCCGTCAAAGAGCGTCCATCTCTTCTTTTTGCTGTCTTTGACTACTACATACTTTCGACCGCTGCGGGCAGGTAGACGGAGCGGACTTTTTTACATCTTTTTTTCCTTTCCTTCTCTCTCTGTAGAACCGCAGGCACTCGCATTAGTCTTTGTGGAGACTAAGAAGGGTGCCGATCTGCTCGCTCAGTACCTCAGCCGCCTCCAGTTCCCCGTCTCCTCCATCCACGGCGACCGTCCCCAGGCAGACCGTGAGAGGGCCCTGTCCTCTTTCCGATCTGGCCGCACACCTGTGCTAATCGCCACGGCGGTCGCGGCTCGAGGTCTGGACATACCTAACGTAAAGGTATTTCCGAAAGTCCTTGGAGTGGTCTCCTTTTTTTTACCAGTACCTCTACTTGCCCACTTTTCACTTTTTTCGCCAATCTCACTTGTGAACAGCCATCCACTCAGCCAGGGGAACTGTTGATTGGCCCAGATTTTGACCTCTCTTTCAGTCGGCAGCCTCA